TGTTGTTGTTGTTGCTGCTGCTGCTGCTGCTGTTGTTGTTGTTGTTGCTGCTGCTGCTGCTGCTGTTGTTGTTGTTGTTGCTGCTGCTGCTGCTGCTGTTGTTGTTGTTGTTGCTGCTGCTGCTGCTGCTGTTGTTGTTGTTGTTGCTGCTGCTGCTGCTGCTGTTGTTGTTGTTGTTGCTGCTGCTGCTGCTGCTGTTGTTGTTGTTGTTGCTGCTGCTGCTGCTGCTGTTGTTGTTGTTGTTGCTGCTGCTGCTGCTGCTGTTGTTGTTGTTGTTGCTGCTGCTGCTGCTGCTGTTGTTGTTGTTGTTGCTGCTGCTGCTGCTGCTGTTGTTGTTGTTGTTGCTGCTGCTGCTGCTGCTGTTGTTGTTGTTGTTGCTGCTGCTGCTGCTGCTGTTGTTGTTGTTGCTGCTGTTGCTGCTGCTGCGACTGTTGCTGCGTTACACGAATTATCTGACGCTCGTCTCCAGCTTTAACGGAATCGGCTTCATTGGCTTTCCGTCTCTTCCATTGATCTTCCGACATTTGATACCTAAACAAATATACAGTTTTTATTACATAGGAAAATGAATTAAAAATATGGCAAAAATTTATATGAACATTTCACCAATGACTTACCCGCTATATGATCTATACGAGGAATGTGGAGGTCCATAATCTTTGGAAACAATATGATCAACGTGTTCTCCAAGAGTAATTGGTTTGTTTCCGTTCCCGTTTCCACTCGCACTTCCTGCTCCGCTGTTTCCTCCATTTCCTTCGCCAGCAGGACTATGGGCCATACCATTAGGTTCTATTGGAGCTTCTCTGTGGAATCCCTGAAAAGTTTTCTAGCGTATAAAACACATCTATATACATGAACTTTCAACAAGGAAAGAATAGAATATAGGAAGTATCATTAGGAACTTCAACCTACCTGGAAAAGACGATCACCAGGTCGCTGTGGTTGAGAATTTCCACCAGTATTTTCAACACTTTGATTAATTTGATGTGTTATAATAGCATCTATCAAGCTGGCGGCGGTTAAAGTAGACGCAGTTTCGTTCTGCTGTTGATTGGAGGACTGACTTTGCCTAGAGGACGATTGTTGTTGTTGCTGCTGCTGTTGCGACTGTTGTGGTTGTTGAAGTCTGGATTGAGTAAATCCGGTACTTATTAACCTATTATCCCTATCCAATTGTTGTTGTTGATCTCTGTACAACTGAGCCATGTGTCTTCTTTCAGCTTCCATTCTTTGTTGTTGTTGAATATGCTGTTGAATATGTTGTTGTTGCTGTTGTTGCTGTTGCAAGTGCGCCAAATCTCTTTCTCTTTGCTGCACAGAAAAACGATGCTCTTGATGTTCCTTTTCTCGTTGGGCAGCTGCTACTGCCATTTGCTGATGAATTTCTTTTTCTCTTTGTTGATGGACGGTAAGACGATGATCAGGATGTTGCATATCTTTCTCTCTTTGCTGTATCGACAATCTATGATCAGCATGTTGCACGTCCTTTTCTCTTTGCTGAACTAATCGATGCTCTTGCTGCTGAATTTCTTTCTCTCGTTGCAATCTATATTCTTCTTTCTCACGCAAGTGAACCAGATCACGTTCTCTTTCCCTGTCTCGCTGATGATGATGAGCCACAGCCATTCTGTGATCTTGATGTATGGCTAGACGATGCTTGTCTCCGTAACGATCAGCCAATAGTCTGTCCGCCATTGTCTTACCAAGGCCTTCGTGACTACTGCTTCCAGAGGCAGGATGACTATGTGGATGAGGAACTGGAAGACTTGGTTGTTGCACAGCGACATCTACTAAACTGGAAAATGCTTCCAATCCTGGTGGCGGAGGTGGATAATGCATCTGTTTTTGTGGATTATGCCTCTGTATAACTCCTTGTCGAGATGGTGTATGCGTTTGGGGCGGAGGAGTGCTTGTATAATACAACGTCGACGGTACCTCGTTCTTATTGCTACTTTCAGACGCACCACCACTTCGACTACGCGCATGCATCTGTTGACTGGTTATATAATCGTTCATAATGATCTGTCTCGAGGACAATTGTTGTTCCATCGTGTAACTAGGCGGTGGTCGACTCGAGTAAGAGTTGTATTGGTTGCTGTGAGTTACGACCACTGCTGCTGTTCCTGCTTGACTTTGTCCTTGTCCAGGAATGCTGCCCGTTGTCACAGGCGAATGTCTAATAGTTCTATGATAGTCATACATCGGCGCACGTTTGTCCACCGCGAAAGGATGAACTGGAGTTCCTTGAGTAATAGATCCCGTCTCCTTAGGTCCTTGATTGCTAGGAGCATTAACAGCACTGGGACCACTCGTAACGCTTGGAGTACCAGCGACACTACCAGGATTTCCTGGAGGTGTCATCTGTCTGAGTAGACCCTCGTAACGCGCACTAGAAACAGGTGTACCGTGCGTGATGGAGCCGCTCTTATGACCCGTTGTTCCCATAGCACTTAACTTGGGAGATAATTTTGGATGAGGTGGAGGTACGGCAACTTTGTTCATTTTAGGCGTAAGAGGTGCTTGAGGTCGTGGCGAAGATGCGTACACCAGAGGACTCTTTGCACCACGTCCTTGTTCAGGATGAGGATGTGGATGGTAGTAAGCACCAGGGGGAGGTTCTGGCCGATAAAGAGTCACTGTCGGTGGTTTATGAAGCGTTTGTAAGGAATGATTGTATTCTTGTTGCCGTGGCTTTTTGATACTCAAGTCCAGCGTTCCTTCGGTTTCCCGAAGCGCTTGTTGCACTTGCATTACAACTAATCCCTCTTTCGGAAGGATATCCGAAGTTGAAGATTGGCTGCTCGATGGCGCAGGTGGACAGGGAGTAATTGTTGCTTGTATTTGACCTGATAACGCAATTTCAGTATAGTAGTTAAATTCTTTCAATGAAATTGTAGAAGAGTATCGAACTTACCAATTTGTTGAGGACTAGGAGCAGAACGATGTCCATGATGAGGACCCGATACCACCGACAAAGTTGCCAAATTCGAGTCCCTCGGCATATTAGTATTTGCCATAGTGGACGACGGTTTATATTCGCGTACAAAAGTAATGTCATTTCGATGATCCGTCCTCAATATACTAGATATCGTTGGTGTTCCAGAATTGACTGGTACTGATGATCCACTAGTACCAGCTGGACTATTAGGATTGCATTTCAATTGCATTTCAATGACACCAAGCATCAGATCTTTAACGGTTAGAGGATTAGAGTTGTTCGTTGTTGAAGGTGGCGAGTGAGAAGGTGGTGGAACCTGTTGATGAGTCTGCTGGTGTTGTTGCAGTGGTGTAGCGTTGTTACTGGCAGTTGTCAGAGTCACAACGACGCTACTATTTTCTAAATCGGTACTGCCCTGACCTTCGTCCGCCGTCTCCTGAAACAATCAGCGAACCTCTATCAGACGGCCCTATCAAGATATAAAGTTCTTTCTCATTTAACAACTAGAAAATAATGAAGAAAAAAAATATAAATACAAGTATTTTTAATACGTTCCGTGTCACATAATTTTAAGGAATTTTGAGTTGTATAATTTGGTATATTTTTTCTTAAATTTTCTGAGATGGTCAATTATAAATTTTATTTTTTATTATGCTTTAGAAATAGTTTAGATACATACGATTCCAATTGCGTACATTACAGTAAAAAATATACAATTAAAATGTAAGTGAATTTATGATAAAAAAGCAAAGTAAAGTAAAATAAAATTAAAGGGTAATATTAAAAAAAGAACTTAAATAAAAAGGAACAATAATAAAGATTGATTAAATAACATTTTGACGTATTTTAAATTATGTTCCGACACTTAATTACGAAAAAATCAGGACTATATGGACCTTCCTATAATTTTGTTGCTCTTCTAATTTTATTTAAATATTAAATTTCTGTTTCTAAAAAAATGACATAGAACGTATTAAAATATCTTTCTTCATATGAAATAACGTGTCTTATATTTTACATTGTTTCTGATTCAAAATAGACTAAACAGTTGATCTTACCGTGGCAGAACTATCATAATCTTCTCTAGTGCCAGCCGAAGCAGCGTTGCTACCTCCGCTGGTGGAAGACTGTTGTGATGAACCTATGCTCACCGGTGGAACTAAAGATACTACAGCGATATCTGCTAGCTTATCGCCAAGCTTTTGGTCTGCTGATCGTGAAAAGGACATCGGCAAATTAGAGGATGCAGAAGCACCTGGTGTCCCTGGTGTACCACTTGATAGATTGTTAGCTGGACTACCTGCACTGGCTGTATCGCTTGAGTCGTGTACCTACAGTTAAAAAATATACAATTATTAATAAATTATTATAAATTCTAATTACTAAAATATTTGAAGCTATAAATTAAAGTAACTTTTTATACAATTAGAATTAAACTGAATTAAACAATTAGAACTAAACTTCCTTCAATATGAGCTTTAAGTTTTTAAATGAAACAACGACTATTTATATAAAACTTATTAATGAAAATTACATTTGGTCTGATGTCCCAAATGCATCAATCAGCATATTATAAAAACAACATGCCTTATAATGTTAAGTTCAACGCGTACTACTTAATCTAACACTAATTTTTGATCTTATTAAAAATTGTCTAGCACGTGAATAATTTGGTAAATATTAATTGTAAATTTTTGGTATGCGCAAATAAAACGGGTCACTACTATTGATTTACGTATATTATTATTTCATTTGCATAATAATATATTCGTTTATATGATATTTTAACGAAAGAGCTAATCCTTCAAGGATCCTCCAAAACGTACCGCAAGTTCGTCGCAGCTACTTGTACTGCTGCCACTTTCTTCTTCATCCGTTAAACAAGGTCTTCTCTCTTCGCCCAAGGATTGATAATATTCTGCAACCACCTGATCTAGGCTCAATTTCTTCCGATAAGCGAAGTAGTAGTTTTTGCATTGATGATTCGTCTTTCCAGGTACTTGTTCAGCCACCTTTACCCAGTTTGTACCGTGCTCTCGGAGGGCTGTTCTGAGCTGTTCTAGCTCCTCGTCTGTCCACTGTCGAGCCAAGGAATCGGCCGAGTCTTCGGGCACTTCGGTACCACCGGTTAGGTGCGGTGCCAATCGACGGGATATTCGATTGAAGCAGGCTGAACAACATTTTGTCGCGTTGTTTGGTATTTCTGAAAGAATTATTCGTTCACTTTATATAATTACATTAGAATTTTTATTATAACAGTGACTGATAATGCGGGGGTCGAAAAAGCATACCATAACACGCCTGTATTAATTGCTTCAATAATTTCTGAGGATCTATTGAGTTAGGAAATGGTAGTCTCAGGTCATTTTCTACCATCCTCTTGAATGTAATAAGAAATACTTACGAAATTCCTGTATAATAGGATCGCGAACTTCAGCTGGTAGATCAAGCCATTTCGCGGGCAGTGCACGCAGCCTTTTCACTCTCGTTTTCGAGCTGGTATTGTTCAAGTTCGGACATCCTAACAGCGGACACGCCGTGTATCGTCCTCTTACGGCTTTGCACCTACAGGTGTTGCACACGCGTGCACCAGGTGTCACTTGATCCTCTCGTAAGCCGTACTGAGACGCCTGACTCCGTGGCAAAGCTCTACTCTGTGTGTTTCCCTCAACAATGTTTTGGCAAACTGTACAGGCGTGAGGACCAATCTGCCTGCCGCTTTCTGGAACAGCAAAAACAATTATATGCGATTATCTTAGCTATTCATCAGAGGACATTTGACATTCAAAGTATTGCCTTTCAGATACAAATTTACTCTCGCAAGAAGGAACAGATGTGGAAATCACTTTTGGAACAACAGTTAAAATTGTAGTACGCATGGACGTAAGCCAAGATTCCACTATTTTCTTCGTCATATAGTCCACTATTTTCTTCGTCATACAGTCGGGCAAACAGGGAGGAATAATCGTGGCAAGTTGTCGGCGAAGGAACTCGAGTGAAAACACGAGTGCCATCGTTTGTATGGGGAGAGCCACAGGAGAGAAAAAAAGATAGAACGGGGATGGTGGTGAAACGAGGAGAAGGTAGTGGTGGTAGCCGAGAGAGGAAACTGAGCGAGAAACAGAATAATTACCGAGACTTTGCTGGTTAACTAATTAAGGGTAGCCAATGAAAAAGTTCTCTCGCCCGCAGTCGCAAACATTGGCGTAGAGGCAAGAGGAGACACGGTAGGATCTCGCTTTGCTGGTTTTACCGCAACGGTGTTCCAGGTGAAAAATTTAACTTTATTCTCCTGGCCATTATCGCGAGTCGCGAGGTCATTTGCTAAGTACCAGGTCATTCAAAAAGCAGCCGGAAAGCGGAAGAATACGATTAATTATTCGTTCCAGATATTTCAACCGCATATGTATCGTGATGAAATAATTTCATTGACTGACTATGATTTGGGTTAAACTTTAAACTGTTTAGTGGCGATGAGAAGCAACGTTCGGAGCTCAGGAGATGACAGTTGGAGTTGATTGACGGTAATGCAATAAATCAATTTTCTTAAACGGATACATGGAAAAGGCACATGAGAGTTTCTCGCAATTAGTTAAACGATGAATTGGTAACACAAAGGGTTACAAATTACAGAATGGGTGATATGTGGAAGTTTCAGTTGGCCGGCTGCCATCATTCCAGCTTATAATAGTACATTTCAAACGTGATGGGAAGTATGTTACACTCTATACTGACAAACACATATCTTGGTTTTTAATTCATCAATTTTGGAATTTACGAAGTTTTTAATTGAGAATTTACAAATTTCTAATTTTGCGAACTTGGTCAAATGACCTATTTACAAGTTTTTTATTTTAAATTACAAAATTTTTAATATGGTTTTCTTGAAATCTACGATGATTTTCATCAAAATAAAAAATCAACGTGTATATTAATTTGTGTTTCGTTGTTTACTTATTATTTAAAGACATTTTTAATTTCATAGTAAGTGTGTATTATTTATTGGTAGATTTCGCGTAAAATGTTTTATCATTTGTTCATTTATTTTTCAACTTCATTTTTAATTTCAAAGTAAATGTGAATTTAGTGTCAATACGAAAATAAACAATTCCTATATTTTTGAGTGTTCCTACTCAACCTTTAATTGTGTAGTTACAAAGTCACGTATAGAAGGATTCACTTGGGGATGATCGGCTGTTGTCAGAAGCAGCGGTTGAAGCAATTAATTTAGATAAAATTGTTCGATAATAAAAACGAACTGCAATTGCGTTAATTAAAAAGGCTGACTTTTAATAGGGACTCGAAGCAATTATCCGATCAATTCTACCTGGGTTCCATAATATTAGAGGAACCTGTGCAACGATTAAATTATGAGAACCAATTCCTATATCACCAGGGGAATAACTGCCAATCAGTGTCGCGAATATATTCTCTCGCATGGCGTTTGTACGATTGTTCGGTAGACAATTCTTCCTCTCATTCCCGCAATAGCCATCACCCTTCCGTTACTCTTGGTTGTATGCGACCAATATAACATCGGTAGTCCTGCGTCAACAGTAATTTTCTCCACGTTTCGAAAGGTACGAGTATAGCGTGTGACAGGTCTCCGGAGATTACTACACGATTGCTACATGTTCGTGGAACTTCAATATGGGAAATGTGTGAAATACGTTGAATATTTGTACGCTTGAACCTCGATAACTCCAACCTTGATACACTACAGTCTCGATGTAAGCGAAAATATTATCCCCACCACTGAACGGAAGACATTTCGTATACTCAGAAGATGCACGTCAAAAAACGTAACAGCGTTTGGGTCAGTGAAACAATACGCACATATAAAACTTTGTTGTTTTTCATTTTTCCTATATTTTATATATTTTTGATATTTTCAAATTTTTTAATTTCTAAACGCCTAAATTTTTAAATTCTTAAATTCACAAATTTCTAAATTTAGGATTTTCTAAAAATATCCTGTTTTCAAATTACCAAATCTTTTAATTTTAAATTAAAAAATTTTTAAATCATCGAATTTCCAGTTCTCTAAATTTCTATGTTCTAAAGTTTCAGAATTCTCGAATTCTTAAATATTCAAAAACATTAAATTCTGACATTTTTATCATCAAATTTTAAACTAAATTAATATTTAAGTTGTGCTTTAAATTTAGATACAAACTGAGAACTGAGTCCGTAACTAAATATCAATTATCAAGGTACATATCAAATGAATAATTTACGAAAAAATTGTTATTATAAAAATTATTTAATGTAGGAGGGGAAATCAAATAGTGTAAAACGATTTATTTTAGAAACAGTCATATATCCGAATATAACAGTATTTTTAGCGAACAGAACTATTTTTCGTTTGTGTTCTCCAAATAATCCAGATTACATAACAAAAGCCACAATCGGAAGAACATTACAGAGCTTCGTTCGAATGATACACCGAAAGGGAGAAGAAGAAGAAAGGGGTAAGAGAAGTATTAGCCACGTGCTAATTAAGCTGACTCGAAACGGGCCAACGACAAGGAGTACACCTTGAATATTTTACAAAGGGTATCGCGAGAGAACTCTCGTCTTGTACACCTTTCCCTCTTTCTCTCCAACTCATTTAACCGGCTTTACCTTCTCCCACGCGTATAATTCTCGTTTCTCTTTATACGACCGAACGATTTTCAGTCAAGATATTCATAACTTATTTTCAAAGGAATTGATGACTTATGACTTTTTCGGACGTAAAAAGAAATATATGCAGTAGTTATTGTTAGTAGAATGTTGATAACCGGAGCAGTGTTTAGTCATATGTAATTAGATGCAATGGAGGTTTTTTGCAAGTAAAAATGTGCTAGGAATTAAATAATGTAAACCTGAAAATTTATGTATTGCCTTTCATAATTCTTGAAGTTTCAGATTCCCAAATTTCCAAATTCACTATTTCAAATTTCACAACTTTTAAATTTTCAAATTTTTAAGTTATTAATTTTTAAATTATCAAGTTATCAATTTCTTAAATTATCAAACTATTCAGTTTCCCAGTTGATAAGTTATCAATTTCTTAAATTATCAAATTATTTAGTTTCCCAGTTTGCAAGTTTTCAAATTTTTAAGTTTGCAAGTTCTCAATTTTAAAAATTTTCCAGTTTCTCAATTTCCAAGTTTTCAAATTTTCAAATTTTTTAATTTTTCAGCTTTTCAGATTTCAAGTTTTCAAGTTTTTAAATTACCAAGTCATTAGGTTCTCAAGTTTTCAAATTTCTAAATTCCCAAATACCTAAATTTCAGAAATTTTAAATTTCCATACTGTTAAATTTCTCAATCTCCCAAATTTTCAAATCCCCACAGTAACTACATACTCAATCTTATTAACAGGTACATTAACTCTTAGAAATAAATTCATATTATTCTTTGCAATCTGTTCAGTTTTTTGTTACATATAGTATTAAGTAATCAAATATTTCTTAACAAAAATTGTGTACACATACATGCTTTAAAATTTCGATAATGAACATAACGAAGATACTTCGTTCACTTTAATGTCTCCGTCAATATATCAGTTTGTGGATAGTAGGTACAATATGACTTCATTATGTTTATGTTATTTTAATTTTGCTTTGTAAAAGTTCGACACTTGAATATGGAGAATTATCTCTGTAAGCTACTATCATTATTTTCTTAATACCCGGTACATTCGCAGCCCATCTGTTAATTAAGCATTCCCTTTGATAGCGATTGTCCACGTGCATATGTGTAAACACAAAGAAATTTTGGACATTTATTATAACTAGGGAATTATGGTCTGAAAGAAAATGTGATTAATACACCATAATCCGCAACTGCTGGCAATTTACAGTCCCTGGTCGTCGAATTAGGACCACTACAAATTTTTAACATTGTTTACGTTTTCCGTAAAATTAGGAGGTCTGTTCAAATTCTAATGATATAATTTATTAGCTACTGACATGATACACTATTACTATACATAACATTACTAACATGTTAATATCTTGTATTTCTACCATTTGCTTTTACCCCTTGCTTGTATAACTTTTTTATATCTTCATTATTTTTCCAAATATTTGTAATTCTTTCGAACACAGATAATGTGGTGCTTGGAGAGTTGTAAACTAGTTTTTGGAGAAGGTTCCATTCACTAAAAGCCTCACGCGCTTTCGATATTCGAACCTAACGTACACACTGGCATGACCTTTAACCGCTCATCACCCACACATATTTGATTGTTATCACGATAGTAGCAAATCAATTGCTATGTATATGTTATATCGTTATCAACGTATTTAGTAATAATTTGCATGACCTAAAACATTTTTCCATATGTGACATAATGTTATAGCTATAAAAGTGAAATTTTCATACGTGGTCCTATTTGATGGCCAGGGTTTCTAGTGTTAGTACATGTTTCTCTTGTTTTACAGTCACTTTTTATCAATATGTTACTAAATATAATATAACGTCACATATAATGCAATGCCATTACAATATAGCCTAATATCATATAAGAACATAATAATAAAACATAATGTAGTATCATACATCATATAAAGATATAATATTTGTTCAGTGTTATATTATTAATAAGTGCAAAAACACAATACTTCATTTCAATACTTAAGAAAATTGATAAGAAATAAGGTTAATTCGAATTCTCTATTATATAATAAATCTAAAATAATTTTGCTATTTAAAAATTACATAAAACTATTA